AAGCATATGAAAGATACATAAAAGATAAAAAGATAAATTTTTTAAAGATTAATCTTTTAGTTATTTAATTTTCAATTTCAAAATCGATATAATTTAAAAGAATATTTTGATATCATTAATCATAATTGCTATAAGGTTCAAAATTGAAGCTTATTCTATGAATAAAAAAGAAAGATATTTGCTGAAACTGCAATTTACTAGAAAATTAGTTATTTTAATTTGATTTTTTTTATTTATTCAAAACTAAGAATTAAATGTCATAATGATATTTTATTATCAATCTTGTTTGACTCTCAAAATATACAAAAAAATCGATTATTACAATTATACATGCAGACGATCAATCGGAAATAAATGACTATATATATACATATATGTATATATATAGTCATTTATATACTTATTAGACAAATAAATTATCGAGTCTGATTTCCTAATGGAACATATGATCTTATAAAAGTCTTAGCCTTGAGTAACTTCAGATATTCGAAAAGGCAATTGAACGAAAGGCATACATAATCGAGCGACGTAACGCGCGTGCGACAAGGGTTATAGGAGGGGGTTGCTGAGCAGAAGGATAAAGAAGTAATCGCGCGCGATCGGTCGCGGTGCTCAGTTGGTGGTAGCTCGGGACGAACGGGCGCGTCCACAAAGTGTGGGGTAAGGATGGAGGCTGCGTTAATTGCAACGACCGAGTGATACGCACCGTGTGTATACACGGGTATCGTGTCCTGGATTCGTAGCCCGCATATCCCATCGCGCGTGCCTCCCACCCTCTCCCCCCTGTGTCTGTGCCCGTACTTTTGTGTGCGTGCGTGTCCCTCTAATAGAGTGGTCAGTTAGTATCTTGTATAAGGGATAACGGAAAACGAGAAAAAAAAATCAGTGTAATAGAACAAAGAAAAGTACAACGAACGAGAATATGTCATCCACATAGTTGAACCGAGGCAAACGAAGAGAGGAGCAAGTCGAATACGGTGCAGTGGTTACCCTGAGTCGTTGGTACGCGCAGCCTTTTGGTGTTGCTGGCTGACTTCATGCTTTGCTATTGCTGTTGCTGCCGCCGCCGTCGAATCGTCACCGACGTTGCTGCAGCAGTTGCTAGCGATGCGAAATGAACGAGAATTTTAAGAAAGAGAAAGATAATGTGTTTTTGAGAGGGAGAGAGAGAGAGGAGAGAAAGAAACAAATGTAGCCTTTATTGTTCCATCGTCGTCGTCGTCGTTTTCATCGTCGTCATTTTATTGTACAAACCGCTCTTTGTTAATGCGCGTTTTCCTATCGTGAACTCCCTAAAAAATGAAAGAAAAAAGGAAAAATAATAAATGTGATGTGCCCGTCGGCCACCAGCCAGCCTTTTATTTTTTTACGCGCTTCATGTGTTCTTTCTTTTTAGGAAGTACTCAAGTAGGACGATTTATCGTCAAGTTCGTGGTCATCTTGGGTGCTCTCAGTCGTTCAACATTTTTTTCTGGAACTTCATATTGGCTTTATGTACCCTTTTTCACTTGCTTCGTGCACGCACATATTATTGCATGCACTTATATACATTCGTTTCTTACTACCGATATATCTACATGATTATAGCGGTAATTACATTTACCTGCTTGCTTCTTTGCAAGAATT